ACGGCTGAGAATGAATGCAGTCCTCCCCATATTACACATGGCTAAATAATGCGCCCCCTGAGATATAACACAAATGTACTATTCTTTCTTCATTCACTTGCACATATTTTCACTCTGGTCATAACACACATTGAAATGAATGAATTGAAATAATATATATATATATAGATAGATAGATATCATAATTATATGCATAGATTTATTTTCTGAAAAAGAGTTATATCACAATTAAATTTTTACAATTTATTTTTGTTTGTGTCAAGCATGTGCATTAGTAATAAATAAATTATTATGCACATAGTTTTTTGGTGTTTATAGCTGTAAATACATGTGGCAGTGGAAGAGTTTACTTATCAAAAGACTACTAGCTATCAATTTGGCCTGAGAAGTCATTTGGGTCAGCCACCCAAAGATGAATTAAGTTTAAATATGCAAGTTTTTTTCTGTTCACAGGTGGTGACTTCATTAGGTCCACTGGAATACATCTTGAACACCCCCAGCCATCACAGGGTACATCACGGCAGAAACCCTTACTGCATTGACAAAAATTATGCTGGGACACTTATTATTTGGGACAGAATATTCAGTTAGTTTGTTTCCTCACTATAATTATTTATCTATAAAATTGTATGGTTTTTGAAAAATGTCTGCAAGGAGACATAATTTTGAATTTAGTAGGGGTTTCCCTTAGGCACGCTTCAAACATATTTTGGTTTTGTATTAAATCCTTCTATATATGATACCAGATAAAGTTGGGTTGTTTTTTATTCAATATGTTTGTTTTTTTTAATAAAGGTATAGATACCGGTAATAAAGTTATTTTATTTGTATCAAATATTCTATAATATTGACGTCTTGTCTTAAAGTTTATTAAAGTAAGTTGTAGAAATTGGAATAATAAGTTATAAAAAGCAAAAATGTGTTGTAAGAAAAATACATGTGTTATATGATTATAATCTCAGTGTTTTTGGTCTTTTATTGACCTATTTAAAAAGATCATGTTGGCCAAGCAGTCTAAGCTGAGTCAATCCCTAGATTGTGGACCTCTGTCCAAGCAAAATACATCACCAGCACTCAGGGTGGATGGGACTCGCTAACCTTGGATGGCAACTCATCTACGAGAAATCAAACTCTGAAATCAAACACAGAGATGGAGTCCCATAGGCAATATTTCATTGACGCAATCAAATTTCCAACAACTCTTACAATGTGGAAAGTAAACAGAGCACAGTGAGACACAAGAAACATTGCTGGTCATCTGCTACATCTTGATCTTCTTCTTCTATATATTAAGGGCCCACAATCAATTTATTGATTATTTTGGCTCCTATGTGTGTAGAGGGGATTTGCAATGTTTCTGTGCCTGGTGTTGATGAGGAAATTTCACTGATTTCCAGTGCCACTTTGTGAGGGAATTATGCGCTGGGGGTTGGAAGGCTTGAGGCAATAGACACAAATGAGTCTAGTGTTGTCGCCTCAACTGTTCCTTTTGAAAGCTTGTTCCAGTCCCTGATTGTCTTGGGCAGGAATGAGCAGCTCCTATACTGGCTTCTTGTTGTTATGAGCCTGAATTGCCTGTCATGGCCTCGTCACTGTCTATGGGGGAGAGGGTCGAGTTTCTGTTTAATACTGGAACAGTGGACCAGCCCATTATTTGCCATGTACATAATGGAGAGCCTAGATTGTCGTCGTCGTTCCTCCTGTGTTTTAAGGACCTCGCTGGGAACCAGGGAAACCTTGGAGAGGCCTTGATGAAGATATCTCAGAGGTATGAATGACTGAAGAGTTGTCTGAAGATAATTTGAAAAACCTTACAATCATCTTGCCTTTAGAACAAATAGGCAAAGATTACAGAGTGAGGCTGACGAATTGAGCAACTCTCCCTCACTTAAAACAAAATACAAATCAAGTCAAAGCTACCAATCAAATGGAAGCCTTGGTCATCTTCGCATCAGTGATGAACAAACAATAATAATAATGATATTATAAAAAAATGATCGAAGGTTTCTATGCCATCAGATGATATATCTTCAAAAGAGAACTGTTAAGCAAAACAATAAGCCATTACAATGTTTTTCATTTCCTGTAGTTTAAAACTGTAATACTATCATATCCCAATACAGATACATTCCAGGCTGAGGGGGAGAAAGTTGAATACGGTTTAGTTCACCCCAACAGCTTCTGGAGTCCAGTTTATGGCCAGGTATGGCTTATCATGCATCGTAAAGATGAGTTGAGTTATTCATCCAATATTTTGAGAGTTTAGTATTCATTAGTCAAATATGCAGTAGCCAACATTTGAATTTATTAAAAAATATATATTTTCTTAATTATCTATATTGATCAATTATTTTATTTTAAAACTTAAACCAATTATGCCTATTGTTATATTAAGATAAATAGTGGAACAAGATATGATTGGGCTCGCAAAAGACAGAACAATTTTGTTCAAGCCTAAACATATCTTGTTCCACAATATTTTTACTTCACCCGGGCTTGAACACAATCCCCAATTTTGACATGTTCATTCAGAATGTCTAATCCTTTGTCCTCCCTTTTCAGTTTTACCACTATTTGTATATATTTGGGCTGGTTAGAAAATACAAGGGCCTGGCCAACAAATTATCTGCTGTGTTTAAAGGACCTGGCTGGGAACCAGGGAAACCTTGGAGAGGCCTTTATGAAGATATCCCAGAGGTATGAATGACTAAAGAGTTGTCTGAAGATAATTTATAATTTGCAAAGGGGCCATCCATAAAAGATGTCCAACAATTTTTTGCTATTTTTTACCCCCCTTCCCTCTTTGTCCACTTTTGAATTGACCAAATAAAGTCAAATTCAAATATTTCCGTCATTTTTTAACCCCAACACAAAATAAAAATTATTAAAGATTTTCTGGAAAAACTCTAAGAATTTAACAAAACTGTTATTTGAGATTTATTGTATTTGACAAATCAAACTTAAACAACATATTTTTTAAAATAATAGTCAAGCGTATTAATTATTAATATTGAAAAAATCATTTCTAAATTTAACCACTCAGTTTGTGAAAGATTGTTTGGGTTTGCATCCCAACTCTTTTGTCATTAAACTAGAAGTTTTTTGCAGTAAATTTATGCAAAACTGCTGCACTAAAAAAAACACTACAATGTGGACATCCGCTTTCTCCTAAACCCCCTCCCCCCTTTGTCCACTTTTTGCTGAACCGCCCCTCCCCCCTTTTGTGTGGACTTCTTTTATGGATGACCTCAAAGCCTTTTATCAAATATCAAGTTATGATTTTTTAAAATCTTTTGGTCCTTTCAATTATTGAAATGTAAAATTTAAATTAAATTACTAGCAACATAGAATAATTAGTATAAATAATATGCATGCAATCTAAAATCACTTCCATTATCTGACATATTTTCTTTCAGGTGGAAGTACCAGTAAAAAAATATAATAGTAACCTCCCTTGGTGGGCCAATGTCTATGTACTATTACACTTTACATTGGTGATTGCATTCTACAGTTTAGTGGCACCATATAAAGAGGTGAGGAACTCTTTTTACAATTTACAATTGGTACCGGTACTCAAAGTTTAAGCTGAGAAAAAAAAGTTGATCTTAAACATACTTGAACATGTACTGGTAATAATATACTGATACTGTATAAAAGTAAAAGACAAAAGTTATCTCCAATAACAATATAGTATTGGAGATAACTATTTTCCTTTTAAATTTGATTTGACCTTTATATCAACTTTATTTCTTTGTTTGCCAATCCATCATAGCTATGCACAGTTTCAATTTCAAGTTGATATATGAATGCACATTTCTTTCTTTTTTTGTTTTGCAGCAATTGTCATTTCTAACTGGTCTTGGATTTGTTGCTTTCTTTATTTATTCAGTGTCTGTTTTTGGAGCTTTATACGATCACAGGTGAGATGGGGATTTTTTTAAAATTAAAATAAATCATGCACTCACACTATTTTCATTTTTTTTTTTTTTTAATTGAAATTTACTTTTGTAATGGAAAAACGGTATCATTTCAATAATACTAATATTAAGGCACATTCTTACATTTTTAAAAATTCACTGAATAAAAACATTTCCCTCTTCCATACAGAAAATATGGCTATCTACTGGAGTTTTTGAGATGTGTGTTTACACTGGTGGTCATTCACTTAGTAAGTGGACCTGTCACGGTGGACATGTCTTTTGCTATGTCTCTCATGATATTATATGTTGTGTCTGCTGCACTGTGGGTTTTGTTAGGAGCACTGAAATTTGATATCTATAATAACTGTAAAGCTGGGAAAAAAGTAGACTGATGTCTGTACAGGTTATGACACGCCAAAATTGGGGTAGATCAAAAAGCTTTGTTCTTTAGTTGTCTATGCCATTATCATTAATATAAATCCCATTGGACAAAAAAAAACTGTGCTAAAAACTATGTTAAAAAAGATTCATTTTAATGGATCCCAATTTGATTGCTCAATAATAATGTGTTAGTTCGTCCAATGAAATCGATCATGACAAATTAGACATGGGATTGATGCTGAATCTGTCTGTGGGTGTGTAGATGGCTTATTAGGCCGATTTTGGCACGAAAGAAGAGGCATGTTTGCCCTCATCCCGCTGATTAAATGACAAAACAGAAGTCTAAAGTATGTTGAAAATTATTTTTCTTAGTGTTTGCATTGTCTTCTTATTAATCTTAACATATTCTTGTGGATATGATGATTCATACTATGAAGATGTTATCTGTTGACCTCTGTATGAATATTTGTAATATAAAACTAAATCCAATTATTTTGCTTTAATTTCAAATGTTAGTTTATCTTGTAACTTTTCAGTCTATGTGATAAAAATTACCGGTGCTTTTTGTAATTTATGATTTCAAGAATCAAAAGACATTCCATTTATATATTTCTCCTGAGCTTTGTGACATTTTACCCTTTTAACAATGCAAATGTTGGTTATATATTTACTTTTAATTAAAAATTTGTAAAATGCTTTAATTATTTAGTAATATAAAGTTAACATGGTGATTGACAACAGTATTTTTTATTACTGTACCGGTACGTAATGTTGAAGGTTTTGTTAAAATTTCAATAAATTATGACAATTATAAACAGCATTAAATAAAATTTATTTTAACTTCAATCAGCAGATGTTATAATATACAAAAGCAAAAGAAATGAATAAATGAAGGCCTCTTGTGTATTACAAATTTATTTAAAGGAATAAAATATACAAAATATTGTTTTTATTAAAGAAATTGAAATCAAATGAAAATAAATAAAAATAATTTTAATTTTTAAAACAAGCAGCCAGCAAAGATTAGAGTTTTTCTAAAACAAAGATTTATTCATTTAATATATCGCTTGATATAATTTAAAAGCTGAAGAGCTTAGAAAACAAACAACATTTATTTAGTGATGTGATCTAACTTGGCAAATCTGTGTAACTTTTAGGAAAACATCAATTTCTTAAAAGCATAAAATTGCTAATTTTGTATGAAATTTTTTTTATAGGAAATCTTATTTTTGGTAAAAAGTAATTTGACCATATTAACTAATACAGCCTATATCCTTTTTATTTAATTTTTATAAATGTATAGTATAACTAAATTTAACACTCACTAGACAAATAATACCTCTTGTTCATTCATTACTGTAGGCTAGTGTATAAACAGCAGGAAAAAAAATTGCTTAACATCCTTCACACTACTCATAGAACTTGTATTCATATAAAATAATTTCAAATTAAAATCTTTCATTTACTCCACAAAAACAAAACAGTTTTTAAGTAACCATTTAGAAATTAGAGCATTATAAACAAGTTGGCAACAATCACACTATAAAATTCCCATAGAGACATTTATAGTTTTCTTTCTGCAAGTACATGAGCAATCAAAAAAAACCACCATTCAAATTTCTATATTTGGTGGATCAAAAAGTAAAATATTTTAACCAAGCATAGACTTGTTAATGTAAAGTGAAACTTGATAAATTATAAACCCCATATTAGTAATATATTCATTCTACTTTTAAAGACGAAGTATAGAGATGCAGTTTAATTATATCTGTTGGCTTACATTTATTCTATGTTTTGAAAATCTTCAAATTAAATTTACTGGACAGTGTATTTTATTTGCCTGTGCATACAAGAGAAAACCGTTGTAATTTGTAATGCAACTACAAGTAGTTAATATACATGAGTGTATTCAAAAGGACAAAGCAAAAAATCCTTTTTAAAAGTTTTATAAATATTTCAATAATAAGCATTCTATTTTCAAAACCCTTAAAAACTGAACATTTTGAATGACAATTTGTAATCAACACTTGCAAGTAAAACTTTAAGACTAACACACTAAATACACATGCTTTAAGTTCATGCCACTAAATGCAAACTCTACTGTACAGCAGTTTTTGCTCCGGGTGGATTTGATGCCAGTTGTGCTTGTATTTTAGCTTGCATAACTTCCGTGATAACTAGAGAAATAAATAAATAAAACGATACCATAATTGAAACAAAAATTTACAACTTCAATTCTTATTTATCTGTTTAAGAAATATTGAAAAAGCATCCTAATTACCGGTATTAAATGCTTTTATAAATGAACAAAAAAAAATGGACATTCCCAAAAAAAATTTTAAATATTAAAAACTGTATCTACCATAAAAAGACTGTTTTAAATGAACATACCTTGTTTTGACCTATATTTGTCTTGTAGCACAGGTTGTACCTTTTCTATGTTTTTGGTAACATAATCGATTTTCCTCTTGAAGAAATCCTGTGCCTTTTCTTTACTCTGTTAATACATATACATTTTGATTTGATGAGCATTTTCCAGCTTTTTTAATGTTCTCTTGTGACTGACACATTGCTTGTTAAACAAATAGTCCAATCACATTTTTAATGGGGTTTTTTAAAAATATATTTTAGGCTTAATTAATTCAGTGTTTGTTTCAAAATTAATGATTGAGACAGCATAGTTTGCAATAAAATGATAAATGATGATCTTACCATTGATACAAAGTATCCAGTTCCTATATCTATCAACAAATCATTTTCATCACTGAGCTTTCCTGGCACGTACATCTGAATTAAGGTTAAGATCAATCATAAAATACAATAGCCCAAAAGGCACTCATTAAAAAAAAATGCTTTTATTTGAATAAGAAATTATTTTTAAAATTATTTCTTGAAGTTAAAGAAGAGTCAGAAATTTAAATAAGATAAACAAATTAAAAGTAAATAATAATCTTTTCACACAAAATGTGCCCTGTAAAATTTTACTCTTAACTGTATCTAATAATAATATTATTATTAAATGGCTGCAATGTCTGAATACACAACAAAGGATACAGAGGCTGTGAGAGGCACGAGTATGTCAGATCCTGGAGAACCAAGATGGGACACTGATTCTTCTGATTCAGCAAACTTGCCTTGTGCAACTTTTAGCTGGTTTATTGAATTAGTCAGAAAGTCTACTTCCTAAAAGAAAAAAACCAGACAATAAGTAAATACATATTCACACATAAATTACATTGTTATTTATACCAATATTTAGTCCCATAATCGGGACATTAAATACACGCAACCATTTTGAAATCCCTTAGATGTTACATGCATTTAAAAAACAATTCCGAATTGTTCTATGATGTTATAATTATTTACATGGTTGTATTTTAGCCTTATTCATATTTGGTTGTTTTTGAAGTTTGCAATATCTATAATTTGATCGGATTTAAATGTAAACATTCCTGGGGGGGGGGATTCTGTGAAACAGAACTTGCTGAACCACCATTACATGTTAGCTAATCTGCCAATATACTATAACCCATCTCATATACATCTTTACTCTTCAACTCTACCCAGAATAAAATTTATGGAGAGTCAGATTCTATTTATGATGCGAATGAAGTTTCACAAACTGTTCAGGTCCCACAATATTCCTTTTACACTGATTGTTGTGATTCCAGTGGGTGGCTTCACTGCCCTTAGGGTGAGAAGCTCTTGTCAAATTTATTACAGCTGGCTAGACCTTTTTGGCCTATTTGATATCAGACCAGCCTATAACACTGGCCATTAGCTAGTTACATACTTGGGCCGGCAAAATCTGTGACACATCTCTCTTATTTTTAGTTAAAAATAGCAATGAAATCTCGCGTCCCTCAAGACTTCTGGCTATGGCGTGATTTCTGCAAGATTTTAATTTAGAAACCAGAAGTTTCTATCTTGTTTCACTTTAAAACTCTGTGTGCTTTAGCACGGCGCGTCTATATGTAGCATTTGTTCGTCCAAGGTGCCGAAAATCGATTTTTTTGGCCATTGTTTGTTATTTTTTTCCCCGCTAATGGTATATTTATATTAACCCTTTTTCATTTTTTGTAGCATTTGTTCTTAATTTATTAACATTAAATAACATTTAGCAACTTAAAAAAATATTTTAAAAATGTAAATCAATTTCAAAACTGAGTTGCTTCCCTTTTCTCAGGAAAATAAATTAAGTCCGGAAGTAGCACTGCCGGAGGGAATGAGTTAATAACCCTCGATTTAGAACTATAGAATATTTTGGATAATATTTTATCAGTCCGATTTCTATATACTGGAATGTTGGTAAATTTGGAATATACAGTACTAGTACGCTTGGTTTGCTATAGCTTAGTGCATGTTATTTATTTTTAGGGATAGTGTATTTCTATTGTAGTTGTTCGCTCATGTTGAAAAACTCTATTTAATTAGACTATCAGGGCCGGACGACAGTTTGAGCACCACTTTTTTTCTGTTGCAGCCATCTTTTTTTTTAAATGTCACTGCAATTGTGCAAGATAGCAGCCATGAAATCAAAAATGATGGTCAACACAAAATTTATCCTAAACCTAAAACCTCGCCCCAAACCCTAGTATTAATCACTTAATTTAGCAACTTCATCCATATCACTGGTATTACCAGCTCTCCTGACAGCGCCTGATGTCAAACTGAAAAGCATTTTTTCTAAAATTCCCAATTGTTTTAAATCAGATAATCCAGGCCATGATGCCACTGACAGCAATTTCGTGTTAACATAGTAGGATTCATCTGCCCTTTATTTTAAAAGTGCACACAAATTGGTGACGTTACTGTCATCTTTTTTAATATTTTTCCCGGTGTATATACTATAATGATTATTTTGATGGCTGCGGCTATTCGGACTCGGGTCCGAGAAGTAAGAGTTTGGGTTTATTAAAAATTTTTAAAAAATTATGAAAAAGTGATAAATTGTACTTTTTTTGGGTAAATTTGGAGAGATAGTATCGCGGCCGCTATCTTGGTTGCCGCAACCCGCGAACTTATGTCCTAAATGTATCCCTAAAAACCTAAGCCTAAGCTGAACCCTAAACATAACCTAAACCCTAAAAATATCCCTAACCTGGGTTTTGACCCTATCGGAACTAGGATTATGACCCTATCGGAACCAGGGACAAAACGCGCAAATGACGTCAGGGTGCTGTCTCTCCAAATTAGCCTTTTTCAAAAAAATAGTTTATAGTTCTCAATTTTTTTCTGAAGGTACAGTTTTTCCAAGAAGTTTTTGAACTCTTTCATGCTGTAGTTGAAGTGTTGTCGTTGTGCAGCTTATCTGTATTGGCATCGGACTTTTTTTTCCAGTTTTTTTAATAGCTTTAGTGTTGACATGTCAGCCGCTGGCTTTAAGGTTGATAACAATACTAGATCTATAGCAGTTAATCTACTTATTCAAGCTTCACACATATCTCGTTTCGCTATTTTATTCATTTACTAAGCTTGAAAGCAGTCCTTTCATTTATATTTTATAGATATAGCACTTAAACAACAAAATTAAATAACAAATTCTACCTGTTCTAACTGTTGAGATAAATGATTTAAGTGTGGAATGGGTAGAGTCGTTACATCTATTTGCTTAGCACCAGGTTCGTGAGCGGCCATCTTAAATTTTTTTCATTCAATACTCTCATCAGTATAAACGAGATCGATACCATATCCGTTACACCAATCAGGGTTGTTCGATAGTATCGAAACTTATACACATTTTATTCCGATACTGAATATATCATTAACTGGACAGATATAAAAGTAGGTACAACATTTATTTGAAACAAATCTAAATTTTAACAAATCTGGTGGAAAAAAAAAAGTCTCTAGTGTTATTGTCTTTTTTTTTTTTGGTGGGGAGGTAGGATTATACATTTATTAATTTCAGGCCTACTACCCTCATTTCTTTTGCTGCCCATGGATACTACGTCCAAGCTAAGTGATATTTCTTATTTTTATACCGTATGTTCTGTTGCTTTGTTCGCTGACGAAGGCTTTCTGCTGACACGTTCATTGTTTTGTTGCGTTTCTTATTTCAGGTTTAACCCTACTCTGTTTTACTCATTTTATATTGTGCTAACCTGATTGCAGTCTATCCCCTTATTACCCTACCTTTGGTTTAGAACTATTTGTAAAATATCGAAAACTTTAAAAAGCCAAAGAACAAGAGTGTTTCAAACTAGTATTTCTTTCAGACACATTTCTTCCGTGGGCAGGGGGGCAAGAGGGAGGAGGTAAAAGTGAATATTTTCCCCTGGCGTGAAACAGTATAGCTAAGCCTCTGCGAGTGGCGTAGAAAATGGGTGGGGGGCCGAATTGGGTCGTCCGCCTAGTTGTAAATGTTTGCTTAATATTGAGGAGCAGCATTTTCGAACGAAAGGAGAGTTTTATCGTGACAGGGAGAGGGCTAAAATCTTGGTCTGCCCACGGCGACACTAGTACGAGCTAGGTCAATGGGCAGTTTGGAGGGGGGGGGGGACAGATTCTCCGGGCGCCAGTTAGTTAAGGGCGCCAAAATGTGCTTGGATATTATTTTATTGATGAACACAATGGGTTTGAGAGTTGAAAAAAGAAAAGGGGGCGCTTTAAAATGAATCTTGTCCCTGGACGCGAATCTTGTCCCCGGGCGCCAAACACTCTCGCTACGCCTCTGGATTAATTCTAAATTGCCAATTTATTATACTTTAACACATTCCTCCCCCCCCCCCCCCCCCCCCCCCCCCCCCCATCCACAGAATTATCTTTTACTTTGATGGTTTAGACAGAAGAAATTTTTCTAAATCTAGTAGTAATAAAATGTTAATTAAAAAGCTATTTTACACCCAAAAAAAAATTAAAAATTATAACATTATTTATATATGCATATATTTTTTTAAAAGAGGGATTTCTACCATATTTTCATCTTTTAAACAATTAATGCAACAACAAAAATTTGTACTAGGGAATTTAGTAGACATAAGCTAATTTTTTTTTTTTTTATTTTTTTTTTTAGAAAAAACTTTGCTATTTTTGAAACTGTGTTACGACAGTAACTAGTACTTTAAAGAAAACTTTTCTTTTAGAAAACGTTATTTTATTCGCATTTCTATGTTGTGTGTGGAGCGAATTTTTTTTTTGTTTACACTCGTGGCATTTTAAGATTGAGTCTTTCTCGTGCAGTGTTCACCCAATGAACGGCTGGAAAAGAATACTTGGCTGACGGAGGTGGGTTGTAACTGTCGTTAAAACTAACGTGGTTGACAGCGTCTGCAACGCTGAGTGAATGGGTGGGTGGGTCAATTAAGAACCAGGCCTAAATTTTAGGGAAAAAGTTTAGTCACTTTAACTGGGATTTTGTAAGAATTTGATTTATAAAGAAATAAATAAATATACTTTTGTCAATAATTTATATATTACAATTTTAATACTAAAAAGTATATTGTTTAACTTGAAATGAAAACAATACTTTCTACCACTGACCAGTTAAAACGCACCAAAAAGTAAAAAAAAAAACAAAACAAAAACTTAAAATACATTACGCAAAGAAAGTCTTTACAGAAAATATTTTCAAAAATTAATTTTCAAAAAATAAATAAAACATTTAAATTTCGTTTTCATAGAGTATTCATCTACACTTCTGCACAGTTCTTCCTTGCTTAATGCATTTTAAGAAATTTTAAATGATTCTCTACTTTTGTAGTGTTGTAACTTGTATTTGATTTTTAAAAAGTTGATTTATTTTTAAAAATATGTTATTTTTAATATATATATTATATATATATATATATATATAAATATATATTCCATTTTATTTGGCTAAGAATAAAAAAGCCTGCATGGGTGCCATAATTAAAGCATATCTAATTCTTTAGTGTGTGGGGATCTTGGGTGAGTTCCAACAAGATATCAGTTCTGTGGCCAGGGCATGATTCTGTCTTCTGCGCGCCCTTGGTCAGCTGCGTCCTCAACTTAATAAGAAAACAGCCAATGCCGTAGCAGTAACTCTAATCCAATCAAGATTAGATTAATGTAACCGTTGTTTGTGGGGTTTACCTCAGAACCAAATTCAGAGACTGCAGGAGGTAAAAATACTACAGCACGCATTGTATCGTGGATAAAGAAATCTGACCACATCACCCCAGTTCTTAGAGATCTCCATTAGCTTCCTGTGAGTGAGCACATTGCCTACAAAATTATGTCCCTGGCGTATAGCTTTATAGAAGGCTCTGCACCGGAATATCTTAAAGAACTGATTTTTAAACACATAGCCTTAAAGAACATGCGCCCTTCCACACAGTCCTTAATGAGCGTTCCCAGTGTGGACGGACACAGAAATAAGTCATACGAAGTGCGCTCTTTTGAGGCGATAGCGCCAAAATTATGGAACAGATTGCCTATTTCTTTGGTGAAAATTGAAAATTATAAAAAAAATCATTTAAGAAACATTTTAAGACTTTTTTTTATTCAAACAGATTTAAGAATATCAGAGTGCTGTGAGCATGGCATGGACACAAGCGCTAGATAAGTATTCAATCAAAACACTATTTTTCCCCAGGACTTTGCGGTCAGAGCCGTCGCGTGGACCTGCAACTCTTGCTCCAGGAGAGGGCCTCTGATATGTAAGAGGCCAAAAGTTGTAATCTGGAGAAGAACAAACAAAAAAAAAAAACTATTAACTTTGAATGCAAATGGAAGAAATAAAAAAAAAATTCATGAGAGACGGATCTGCAAGATTTTTCCAAACATAATAGGCCTAATTTCTTTTCAAATGCTGCTACCTATTCGAGTCAGGGTTGCAACTAAATAAAGACTTTTTTTTCTAAACTGAAATTGATCGAAACACGTTGAAGAATATGTTAGACTCAGGAAAGGCTCACATCTTTGGTTATGATTTCTATTAAAAATCATGTTAACAGTCGACTAGATTAGGGAGATGACGTTAGCAATGCTTTTTCTACCGCAACAGCCAGACAAATTTGCGTGTTGAATAGCATACTAGGTGCTGTGTCAATTACATTTTAAACAAATTAAAATAAAAATTGTATGTCTAGTTATTGCAAGCTGAAATTCGAATTTTTAAAAATTTATTTATTGATAAAATTCTGTTTGTTTTTTGCACCTTTTCAATAAAAAGTCGTTTTAATTTCGAACAGATTCGTTTTTAATTTTGCTACACAAAATCTAAATAGTTTTTATTGTTTATGTGACGTAGGCTAAATAAGACAGCCATTTTGGGACTCTTCGTCCGTCTTCTCCCAGCGGCACCTTTTTAAAGTATTAACTGCTAATATCAACCTGAAAGATGTGTAGGAGACGCGGTTTGAAGCAGCCTGGGGGCGCCAAAGTAGCGTTGCGTCCAAATACGGGGCTGTGAAAAGGATCGTTAATTCAATGTGTATCCAATATGTAGCCTTGTACCGACTTGCAGGGCCGTGTAAAGCTTGGGGCGGGGGGGGGGGATCCGGTTGTGGAGCGTCGTTGAATACCCATGCCAAAATCAAGACTAGATTTTGTCTAGACTAAACAGAGCGAAAGATTCCGAATTTGCCCCGGGGCGCCATAAGAGAATCTTATCATACTCCTGGCGGGACGCCATTCAAACATTAGGGTCAATATGCCAAGCCTCACAATGTCGTCTCTAGTAGCTGCTAACACGATGCTAGTTATTATTATTATAAAGCTTGTTCGTTATTGTTGTCAAGCCTATCATCATCTTCATCGCCCTGTATAAATAGTTAGTTATTGTTATCAAGCCTATCATCATCTTCATCGCCCTGTATAAATAGTTAGTTATTGTTATCAAGCCTATCATCATCTTCATCGCCCTGTATAAATAGTTAGTTATTGTTATCAATCATATCATCATCTTCATCGCCCTGTATAAATAGTTAGTTATTGTTGTCAAGCCTATGATCATCATCATCGCCCTGTATAAATAGTTAGTTATTGTTATCAATCATATCATCATCTTCATCGCCCTGTATAAATAGTTAGTTATTGTTATCAATCATATCATCATCTTCATCGCCCTGTATAAATAGTTAGTTATTGTTATCAAGCCTATCATCATCTTCATCGCCCTGTATAAATAGTTAGTTATTGTTATCAAGCCTATCATCATCTTCATCGCCCTGTATAAATAGTTAGTTATTGTTATCAATCATATCATCATCTTCATCGCCCTGTATAAATAGTTAGTTATTGTTATCAATCATATCATCATCTTCATCGCCCTGTATAAATAGTTAGTGATTGTTATCAATCATATCATCATCTTCATCGCCCTGTATAAATAGTTAGTGATTGTTATCAATCATATCATCATCTTCATCGCCCTGTATAAATAGTTAGTTATTGTTAAATATAAAACTGATTAATAGATGCCTCAGAAGCGTATGAACTTGCAGGAAAATATTGCATTTTAATCAAAAAGTAATTGAATGATTATGGTACCAATTAAATAGGGGACCTACATTTTCCCCTAAATAAAGACAGTCTCCAAATATATATTTTTTTTTTACCATCCTTTGAATGATTTGATTGAGCTGAGAAGCGATCCAATCACATAAAGTGAAGGACGATTGTCACTTCGATGCGCCCCGGCTCGCCTGCCTAAAGCACCGTTGATACAATTCTATATTTATACAGGATCATCA